TATCACCAGTCACTTCACATTTAAAAAGGTGCTAACATTTTACATTTAAAATTAAACAACTAATTAATCTCACATATTTTAATTTAATTACTTAATTTTGTCTTCTCTCTGATTTTCCTGACTGAACAATTCACTGTCCTATCTTGAGAGAATTAATCAATTCCCTCACTTCAGTTAAAAAGCAGATAAAAATTCCAAAGGTTTACCTTATTTGTGATTTTTAAAAAATAAAGAATTTGTTAAAAAAATCCAACATCCACTCTATGCCTTAGCAATAATTTCTGTTATTAAACTGGAGTTTGACCTTGATGAAAGAGGACTCCATTAAATAACTGATTTAAGACCTACAAATATACCTTTTTTAATTAAAGGTAGTCCTGAACTTTAACTACACTTCTAAAGAATATTTATAATATTTTGGAAGATTTTGCTTTGCTGGTCACAGTATGGCCCATCCAGCCTAGACAAGGCAGACCCAAACAAACATTTTTCCTAACACACTCAATGGGATCTGTCCTGGTCCCAGCTCTCAAAATCAATGTCCCATGGTTGTCTTGACCACTGCTGCGCACAAATGCAGGGAAGACACAAAACTCCAGAGCCGTGTCAAAGCAGTCTTACCTTACCTCCTAGCAACCTTGTTGGTGTATCTGCTCTTTAGGACAAGGGGTGATGGTTTTAAACTACAAGAGGGTAGATTCAGACTAGATATAAGGATGAAATTTTTTACGTTGAGGGTGGTGAAACACTGGCACAGGTTGCCCAGAGAGGTGGGAGATGCCCCATCCCTGGGAACATTGAAGGTCAGGTTGGATGGGGCTCTGAGCAACCTGCTCTGGTTGGAGATGTCCCTGCTCATTGCCAGAAGGTTGGGTTAGATGACCTCTAAAGGTCCCTTCCAACCCAAACCATTCTATGATTTTATTCTATGATTCTATGATTTTTCCATGCCTGCTTTCCGCTCCTCTCTGTGGCTCCAAGGCATGTCAAGCAAGCGCAGCCTCAGGCCATGGTGTTTCCTGGGGTCTGACACCATGGGTGCTGCCTGCTTGCTCCACCTGGGGAGGCATAAGGACACTTTCCCGTCCCACTTGCCACCTAAGCCTCCATAGCTGCAGCCCGAGACAAATGCCCAGGACATGTATTTACTCCTGTTTGTCCAGTAAGAGCTCCTGCTAGCCTAAGAAACTTTACCCTCTCTCACATGCATGCCATTGCAACAAACCCTATCCTTCCCTCCAATGTTTGTCCATCTGCATCAGGTCAAAGGAAAATGATTGAAAGTAATTAGTTCTTAAAAGGTTTTAATAAAATAGTAAAGGAATCCACGTAAAGGAATGCCAGCAGTAGCAGCGCATGACAGATGCAAGAGACAACATTTTTGTGTAACAGAATTAATGTATCCCGTCAGCATTTAAAGCAGATAATACATTAGACCTGGTAGTTTCAAATATTATATTTGTATGATATTTAATGACTATTTGTACTGGCAAGCAAGTCTCGCTGCCTTTCTATATATAGTAAGCATACTACCCATTTTCCTGAAGTATTAATGTATGGATAGCTGATCTCTTATGCAAAGCTGAAATGGGATTTAATGAACCTCCATTACTCAAGCTGCACATTTTCCTAAAGATGAAAAATGCCACGTACAACGTATTTTCCTGCATGTGAATAAGCCCATCAATAGAGATTTCTGAACAGAGTGTTTCTACTCAGCAATTTTTGCCCTTTGGGAGGGGGAAGGAAAAAGGGAAGGGAGCAGACGCTTCCCCTCTCTCCCCCACGTCATCTCCATAAAGGAACTGGGCTGGCTTTGTTAACACTTTGGTTTCAAAGCTCTTCTTAGAACATAGGCACAACTGCCTTCTGACAAATGTTTATTAAAACTTAGCTGCAAGCAGTTAAACCTGGTTTACTATATTCTTCCATGTCTTTTATAGGAAATGACAATGGAGAAAGCAATCATAGCAGCACAAATTTGGAAATATCGAGAACTTCTGTTAGTTTGACATCGTGTTTGCCTCTCTTAACAATTCCCCTCCCTGATGAAGCCCATGCTAGGAATTAAATCTGTACATACAAACAAGATATACTAATCTCCAGTCAGATTCTTAAATGCAAATTCTTTTTCTTTACCAGCAATACATAAGCACCAGTAAAATTCCCATTTAGATGTACAAAAAGCTGATTTGCAGCCTCAGTCAAGTATCTGAAATGCAACTTCGTGTGCTGTTGCAGTTTTAGGACAGCAAGTCCTCGAATTCTACTTTCTTTAGGAAAAAAGGATTAGAACAGTGTTTTGCTATATGGCAGATTTGTAGAGGATGAAAAAGGAAGTTTACCTTTCATCGTGGTATATGTTCTCTGTAAATATATCATTACAGTAAGTTATATGCACCTCAGAGAAACAAGTTTGTTCTTTTCCAGCAACTACCTAGGTTTGGCAACTTGGACACCAAAACCATCTTTTTAGTTTTCCTAATGTTATTTTACAAAAGTTCTAAAATTATCATACTTTTCTCTACTTAAAAGTGTGTTAAGCAAGTCTATCTTTCCACGGTATTTTTTGGAATTTCCCGTTAATTCTACCCTCTCCTACCTCTCCTTCTCAATTTCCACTGGTACCGCTGGACTGCCATTATTACTCTTCAAAATGGGTCCACTGGGTTTCAGATTCCTTCTGGAAATTACCTTGACTTTTCCTCAAACCTTTGCTTTACTCAGAAGCTGCCAGGAGAACTCTGTTGCTTTCCCTCTTACTGCTCAGACAATTAATAGGTATCGATGCCAGAATCAGGAACAATTGCAGACATACTTCATATCTAATTTCTCAATAATAAGGCTGTAGAAAAAGTATCATTTTATCTGATAAACTCTCCTGCTCAGCAGTAGTCCTGAATCAGGTAATGTCAATTTTTTGAGAGCTTTGCTGTTGCACTGCACAAGCCCAATATCTTAAGAGGAAAAAAACCACCCCACAATCCAAACATAAATCAACAACCTCTCCCTTTCCCCCCAAAACCCCCAAACACCTCACACTTCTGGTGACCTCCCAAAAGCAGAGAGCATAATCCATTCATCCCCAGCAGCTCACTGATTAAAAGACATACTTGAGCACCACCGAGACCAAGTTCAAGCCCTTGGTCTGAACATGGCTTTTGGCCTCCTGCTTTCAAAATAATGTCTCTAAACAGTAGAGTACTGCCCGTTTTGTAAAGGCAGGTGGCAATGTCCTCTCCCAAGAATGAACCCAAATTTTCTTGGGAAAAGGAAAACAAAAACCCCAACGAATGCTTTAGAATCAATAGCTCCCCACCTCCAAAAAAAGCCAACAAAAAAAAAGTTTTTGATATAAGTGACATTTTCAAATGAAAAAAAATAAGAAAATAGGAGTAGGTGTTTCCAAGTGGGACTATTTGTTATCTCTGAGGCAACATGCTGTGGCCACAGCTTCTAGATTTACAGAAGCTACCCTGCCCATTAACACTGAAATACAGAGATAAAGCTATGAATGTTATAGAATAACACTCACTCACAGGATGTTGTGAAAAGCCAACTCTGCTCACTGGAAGTGTAACGAGTCACCTGTTAGCTTTCCCTGCAGAGCAGTTGTATGTTTCATAGTACAGCCTAACAGCTTCCCTTGACAGCTTGATTATGATCAGACTACCCAGTCAATCCCATTGCTGTCCAACAGTGCAAAGCTCTGGTAACATGGCTGATCATGGCAGGGGAATACGCAAGATGCTGAAAGGGGGTTTCTCTATTCCTAAGTCACAGCAGCAAGGATTGATGCCCTCTAGCACACCGTACACACCAACAGGAAGATCAGAGCCTCCAAGACAGGAGGATTGTAGCCAACCCACAAGCCTGTGCTTCCTCCCGCTGTGTCACCAAACCTTCCCTCTTCATTCAAT